ATATAAAATGCTTAGGAATCAGCTTAATCAAGAAGGTGAAAGGCATCTGCAATAAAAATTATAGAACACTGAAGAAATCAAAGAACACGTTAGTAAATGGAAAGAACTCCCTTGTTTCTGGATCAGCAGAACTAATATTATTTAACTGGCCATATTACCAAAAGTAATTTTCAGATTCAGTGTGATGCCTATGAAAATATCAGCACTAGAAAACACAATACTAAAATTCATATGACAGCACAAAATACCCAGTGTAGATCAAAGAAGTCTTGAGCAAAAAGAACAAGTTTGGAGGCACCATAATACCAAATTTCAAATATTACCATGCAATAGTAACAAAAACAGCATGGCACTAGCACAAGAACAGACACGTAAAATGGGATAAAACAGAAAACACAGAAATAAACCACAGCTACCTCATTTTTTTTTAAAAAAAAAAGCTATCTCATAAGCACCTGACTGGCATGCACAAGGTCCCAAGTTCAATCCCCAGTACTGAAAAAAAGAAAAAAGAAAAAATCACTTTTGTAATCCCAGCACTTAGGATGCTGAGGCAGGAGAACTGTTGTGAGTTCAAGGTCAGCCTGAACTACATGATAAGGCCTTATCATAATTTCCACCCCAAAAAAGACCAGAAACTTTAAAACTACTGGAAGAAAACATAGGAGAAATCCTTGAAGTCACAGGCACAGGCAAAGACTTCATGAATAGGAAGAAAATAAAAATAGCACAGGAAATAAAATCAAGATTCAACAACTAGGAGTGGGTTGGCCCAGTCCGCAAGCCAGTGACTTGACCAGACCAGAGCCTATCTAAAAAATCGTTATGAAACAGTGCAACTACTTCAAACTGAAAGCCTTCTGCACAGCAAAGGAATAATCAACAGAGGAAAGGGACAACCTACAAATTGGGAGAAAAATCTCTGATTTTTCTTTTTTTTTTTTTCTTTCTCTGATTTTTCAAATGTACAGAATTAACATTAACAATATATAAAGAACTCAAAAAATATAACCCAATCAATAAAATGGATAGACAAATTAAATAGATACTTCTCCAAAGAAAAAGTATAAATGTCCAACAAGTGTATGAGAAAAATAAATCGGTTTTTTTTTAATTTTTGATAAAAAATAAATCTTCAAGCCATTAGGGAAATGCAAATCAAAATTCCACCTGGACTCAATCTCACTCGAGTCAGAATGAAAATCATCAAAAAAAAAAAAAAAAAAAAAAAAAAAAACAGTGATTGCTGGCAAGGATGAAGGGAAAAAACAACTCTTTTATATTGTCTGTGGGAAAGCAAATTAATAACAGTCACTATGAAAATCACTATGGAGTGTCCACAAAAAATAAAATTAGAAATATCCTTTGTTCCACCTATATTGCTCCTTGCTATATTCCCAAAAGAATTAATAAAAGAGACCATACTGTAGTGATACATGTAAAGCCATGTTTATTGTGGTACAACACACAACAGCTAAGCTGTGGAAACAGCCCATCAACAGATGAATAGATAAAGAAAATGTGGTGTATACACACAATGGAGTATTATTCAGTCATAAAGAAAATAAAATCAAGCCAGGCATGGTAATACATGTCTGTAATCCCAGCACTTTGGGAGGCTAAAACAGGACAATTAAATATCAAGCCAAGCCTGGGAAATTTAGTGACACCCTGACTCTAAAAATATATATAGAGGGGCTGGAGAGATGGCTCAGTGGTCTGAAGCACCTACTTAGAACAAGCTTAGCAAAAGCATCAGGGACCGCGGTTCAATCCCCCAGCACCAC